TGTATGTATGTGTGTATGTGTATATATACTGTATGTATGTGTGTATGTGTATATATACTGTATGTATGTGTGTATGTGTATATATACTGTATGTACGTGTGTATGTGTATATATACTGTATGTATGTATGTGTGTATGTGTATATATACTGTATGTATGTGTGTATGTGTATATATACTGTATGTATGTGTGTATGTGTATATATACTGTATGTACGTGTGTATATATACTGTATGTATGTGTGTATATATACTGTATGTATGTATGTGTGTATGTGTATATATATATACTGTATGTATGTATGTATGTATGTATGTATGTGTGTATATATATATATATATATATACTGTGTGAATAGGAACACATAACAAACATATTTTAATTGCAATAGTGGAAATGCACTTTAAAGTATACTTTATGACTTCATGGAAGACTTCTCTAATGCAGTCCTATATACAGTACAGGTGTGCTTGTCGTCTTTGCAGCTTACGAAACAGAAAACAAGCAATGTTTTGTATCTGGTCCTACTGTTTGCTGTGGGACATATGTATGAAATTGCTGGGTCTCGTATTGTGCTGCTTTAAAGGTATATGAAGTGTCATAGACGTTATTCTTCCATAGTCCTTTACAATGTCTTCTTTATCTTCCCCTGATCCCTTGTAGTAGTGTACAAAGTATTGCACAAATTGGATTTGTGTACTCCACCAATTGTGGAGTGACTCCTAACTTCATATTTATAAGCCCACCTTATGCTGCTGGTGCACAATGTTACCGCATTTTTGTATATAGAAAATGTAATGCTTGAGGCAGACTGGATATCCATGTAAAAAAACTCTTTCTGGGAATCACTTTTATTTTCTGTTGCCTAATTTTTCTATCTCCTTCCTTATCATTTGGCAGACAGGAGCTTACAACTCAGTCCTTGGGAAAGCAGTATTGTAGATCGGTTGATGACACCTACCCTGTCCTTCCTAGCAAGAAGCCGGAGTGCAGCAAATCTTCCAGGAAACAGCAGAGATTTAAGTAAGCACAGAATATTTCCCAACCATCATTTCTCTTACTTTCAGTTATGTATGACTGATTGCTGTGTGCATGTTTTTCTTGTCAGATTCACTAGTATGCCCTCGTTCTGCCTCTGCAAGTCCACTAACCTCTTGTAATGGTCACAAGCATCGGTATTCGGAACGTCGTAGGACCACACCCAGCAGCCCCGACATAACACCCCGGAAACGCAGTGACACATCTCCGGTGAGTTGCAAATTCAAGTTGTTTTAAAGTTATCCTGTACTTTGTCCCCCCCCCTTTCCTACACTTTTCCATTTGTTCCCATACCTGACTGTTCTAACACAGTGAAAAAAAATTCTCGGTACTCACTGGTATGGCAGAGCATGTGATGTTGATAATGTAGTGTAAGATGCCTGAGCCACCAATCAGAAGGATTACATTATGTTACAAATACAGGCCGTGGAGCTTACACAGGCTTTTTTTTTTCACTTTGCCGCAGCAGACAAAGTAGGGAGTGAATGGAAAGTAAATATAAACAGCTTGTGAGTGGGCTGTTGTTTTAGCCTACATTGGCAAGGTAAAGGCTTAGCATAAGTATACGCATGCTACATACTTTGAAAGTGTAACACTTCTTACCATGGAAAGAGATCACTGTACAACCCTAACAATGCTTCCATCCTCCTTTCTTCCTAGAAGGTTGGTACTATGTTTTGACAATTGATGATCCTGATAGTGAAGTGTAGTAATCTTTAAGTTTTTAGATGTGTATACATATCGCTCACTTTGTTAAATACTCTCCTTTGCTAAGCATACCTCCAAGAATACTAAACTGGACGGAGTGATCACTGGAGGAAGGAAGACTGAAGAAATGCTTCTTTCTGCCGGCTGCAGGTTGATTACCTAATCTCAGAATGCCCCTCTCAGACAGACGTTGAGAGACTGGGTTTAGGCATAGTTACTTGCCTGGAGCTCAAGGACTGCATTTTAGTAAAAAAGGGCATAGTGGTTATGGAAACTAATACTATTGGTGTACATTTTGATGTCAGGAATGTATGGTTTCAAAAACTGAGTTACCATTTTATAAAAGACCTTAACTAAACATTTGTGTTTTGTTCAGGGTGAGCTTGATAGGCTTTGGATAAATGTACACCTGCATTTGGGGCCTAAATGTAAAAAAACAGCACTATAAAATTCCCCCAGTAACTCATTTCTTCTCCGGTCCCACTTTCTGGAATTTGTGAAAGTTGCAGTTAATTCAAAGCAGACTCTGGCTGACTATTATAGCGGCTGCAACAGTAAGGTGAAAACTATACCAGACTATTGCCAGAAGAAAGGTGTCTCAGAGAGTGGCAATCCTAGATTGGATAGAGTTCTTCTTAGGTGGTAATGCACCCTGATGTTTCCATTCTCTCTTGCTTACCTTTCCAGAAAAAAAAAGAGAAGAAGGAAAAAGATAGAGAAAATGAGCGTGAGAGAAGTGCCCTGAGCAGAGAGCGCATCATCAAAAAAAGACAGTCCTTACCTGCTACAAAGAGCAGAGCATCTCCCACTTCTAACTTCAGGTACATGTAAATGGTGGAGAAAAATAAAAATATGTGGTACTGATGTTGGATAACAAGATTATAATGATGTTTATTATTTACCAATAGTATGAAGTCCAAAAACCGCCTGTCCTCCCCTTCCACACCTACCCGGCGCCCAGCTTCACCTTGTCCAGGTCCTTCAGTACCAGCTTCACCTTGTCCAGGTCCTTCAGTACCAAACACCCCAAAAGTAACTCCCCCAAAGAGTGCACAGGGGACACCCAAATCAAAAGCCAAAACAGAGAAGCTAAAGGAAGAAAAAACTCCCAGCAAAGCCAGAGAGAAGAAATCTGAGCAGAAGGTTGAGAAGGAGAGGCAGCCATCCCCTGCATTTCAGCCAGAGGAAGCAAAGACCCAGGAAACACCAGAAAGCACCACTAGCAGTTCTGCACCTAGTACAGGTTTGTATTGTACTTTGGTAACCTCCACTTTTCCAGTGCTAGTTACTTGAGACCGTACATTCATTAACCAATTCAGCTCTCACCTCTGTACATACCTCCTATGGGCCAGATCAATTTTTACATTTCTGCTATGGGCTTATTGATTCGGCAATCACTTTCTCAATACTTAGTCAGTACTCTAACGAACAAAATTCTCTACTGATGATGCAAAATTAAGCTTTCTTCATCTAATTTTTCTTTTGTATTTTATATTTAGAGTCTGTTCCTTCCAATACCCCTGCTAATGCACAAGCCCCTACACCTGTGCCTGCTGCAGTAATTGCACCTTCTCCTGCCCCTTCTCCAAGCAAGCCCATGGCTGGCACCACAGATAAAGAAGAAGCAGCCCGCCTGCTAGCCGAGAAGAGGCGGCAGGCTAGGGAGCAAAGGGAAAGAGAGGAGCAAGAGAAGAGAGAGAAAGAGGAACAGCAGAGGTGAGTGTCATCCTAGCAGAGAGAAGTAATAGCGGTTTGGAATGTTCTGAGCAGGTTTGTACTTTAACTCTGTAACAGTTAAAGCCATTAAAACAGCATTTACTATGTTACATCAAATCAAGCGGAATACCTGTACTACAAAGCTATCTATTGCAGCCATCTGTGTTCTCATGTTCACATTTTCACTTCCAGCTAGATGTGATGTTGACTCAGTTGAGATGAAAACAAATGAAGGGCTCATGCACACAGGTTTAAAATACACTGAGGGGAATTTATCAAAACTGGAGCAGACAAAATCTGTAGCAGCTCTGCATGGTAACCAATCAGCCCATGGTAACCCTCTTTCATTTTGAAATCTCAACTGAAGAAACTGAAGAGAGAAGCTGATTGGTTGTCATGCACAGCTGCTCCAGATTTTGTTTTCTCTTTTTAATAAATTCACCTCACTGTGTTCAGATACATAATGTCTGAAAGCTGTATAAAAAGCTATGGGCCCATGCTCACAGCTGTGTTCAGCTCCATCTTAAGCTGCGTTCAGCTGCGTAAAAAAAATAAAAATAGGACACATCTGTGTACAGGAATGTGAATTTCAGCATTAATTACACTGTACACATGTAATGGTTTGTGTAACGTAGGCAGCTCGAGCTGTGGTGAAACTACCTCTGCCTCCGGGAGTCATGTCTGCAACTGTCAGTCTTGCAGTGAGTCATGCGACTTCCACTTCATGGGTAGTTCCACAATAGCTGGTGTGCTGAGGTTGCCTGCCCCTGAGATAGAGGCACGCACAAAGCATTGCTTATTTGGTCTTCAAGGGAACATGGAAAAGGTAAATTGAGTGGCCTTTCTGAGCATACCCTTATGACAGTGTTTCGCACGCTGGTAAGGGAAATTGACTGCTGTTGTTTGTTGCTTGGACTTTTTAGGTAATTCAGGTATTAGTAGCATCTAATTTTAAAACTGTTTCCTGCTTTTGTCTGGATTCTGCTTGCATATTCAAAAGTCAGATAATGTAATATGCAGTTAATATGCTTCAGTTAAGCTGGCCATACACTGCTCAGCAGTCCTGCTGAGCAGTGTGTGGCTCCCCCAGGACCCCTCCATTCGATAAACGTGGATTTTCTAACAACTTTTGTCAAAGGAGCCAATCAGAAAATCCTCAGTTGAGCAGTGACTATCAGCTGCAGTCACTGTTTGGGTATTCTGACAGTGGCACACCCGCTGCTGTCAAAATACAATAGACCAGCCAGGGGAAATAAACAGCATGGATGGGGGAATCGAGCCTTTTTTCTTGTACAGGCCAGTGGGGCTGAGCAAGAAAAATTATTTAGGGCTTGTTCACACCAATCGCGGAGCAGATCCGGACCAGAGCAGGTGCAGACCGGATCAAAACTGCGTCCAATGTATTCCTATGGTATTTTGACCTCCAGTTCACATCGCAGCTTGCGGATCCAGACCAGATCCAGACCGGATGAAAAAAATGCGGCAAGCCCTATTTTACCTGCTCTTGATCTGGTCTGGAACGCATCTAAAACGCAAAAACGCATCAAACGCATGCAAGTGCCTGAAAGTCCATGTTAAACTTTAAAAAAAAAAAAAATTTTTTTTTTTAACCAAAAACCGGCCCTAAACACATCAAAAACGCGGCACAACCCACTACACTGCGTGTGCAGAAACCTGACCTGATCTGGTCTGCATTTGGTGTGAACAAGGCCTTAGTGTATAGCCAGATTCAGTTGTTTGTTTCAGATACACCTGATTCCATTTCACTATGTCTGAATTCTGATTCCATGCTTTTGCTGCAAGGAGATACTCCTGTCATCACTAATGGCACAATGCTGTTTTATACAGGAGAGAACGTGAAGAGCGGGCTCTCAGGGAGGCTGAAGAGAGGATGCAGAGGGAGGCAGAGGCTCGACAACTGGAGGAGCAAAGGAAGCTGGAGGAAGAGGAGAGACAGCAGCGTGAGGAGGAACAAAGAATGAAAGAAGCTGAGGAAAAAGCCAAAGCTGAACAAGAAGAAATGGAGAGATTGCAGAAACAAGTGAGAACCGTAAAGATCACCCTACACTGCACAAAATTGTATTAGGGAGTCATTACTTCTCTTCTGTAGCATCTGTAAAAAAAATAGGTCAGAATTCTGAATTGAGAAAGCTGGTCGGATGACCAGTGAAATGTCTCCAAGTAAAATACAGCAAGTCCAGTTGCCTTGACCTATTTTTTTACATATATACAATGGCCTGGATGAATGAGAACCTTCACAGACATGCAGTATTTCTCTTCTGTAGGGCCTGACTGCTTTTTACAAGTCTTTGGTACTATATAGTTAATGTAAGCCAGGATTGTACCGAGCCCTGCAGCACAGAAGTTATCGACACGGATGTCCTGTTCCCCCGATCATATGACAGATTCCTCTCAAACAGTGTGCTATGGTTGTATACACTTTCAGATGTTGCTAAATGGTCCTGTTTCAAAGATGTTACTTTGCTGCCCCCTAAAGGGATGCCCAGTCCCAGTCGTTCACCATACTGTAAACAAGTGTCTTCAGAATCTCAGTGTTACACCATATTCCAGTCGCACTTTTCTAGTGTAGGTTAGAAAATACAAGTTGGTTGAGTCACTAGGCACAACAATGTTTTATTGTGTCCTGTTAACATCCCGATGGCAGCTACACCAAAATTTGATAGGAATTGTAACAAAAGTCTGCAGTTTAGAAGATGCATTGTTTTTACTACCAAAATCCTGGTTACACATACGTGATCTACTTATCTTTTAATGCTTCTATTACGTCAATTCACTACAGTCTGCAGAAGTATTTCACACCTGTTGCCGATACAGCAGTGTATTTTGTTTAACCCCTTCGTGACTGACGACGTACAGTGTACGTCGCCAGCATCAGGGCTGTTTAAACAGACTCCCGGCGACTTTTGCCGCCGGGACTCTGTTTAAAGTTGTAGAGCCGACTGTCGGCTTTACAATAGAAGCGATCCTGGCGACTTACCTGTCGCCAGATCGCTTCTGTGTCCCGAAGAAGGGGCCGCCCCCCCGCCGGACACCCCCGCCGTGCTCCCCGGGCTCCGTTGCCCCTCCTACGGGAAAAAAATGAAAAAAGGGCCTCAGTCATGAAGGGGTTAAAGCGCCTGTTGTTTCAAAATAAAGCTGCCTTTGCAAAGAAGACATTGCGTGCACAAGTCTTCTATTGCTCGCACCACTGATCTTTGCAGTGGTAAACAGAAAACACCTAATGAAGATCCTGTTGAATTCCTGATTGCTTCTGTAATCAGTGGTTTCATCTGTCAGCTCCTACATCACCACTATAGACTATATTGATCTAGAGGCCAGTGGCAGGAACCATAGTGTGCAGTGGTTGAACAGCTGTTGCTATCCCTGCCACCCCTTTGTTGCATAGAAGCATCCTGCATAGTAGAATCATAGCGCCTGAAGGGCAAGATAGCTGGATGAGAGCATTCATGATTGTGTCTATTTCAAAAATAGTTCCTGCTTTGAGGTCTAAGACATCTGACAGGTACATTCAGTCCTTTACACGTATGACTACCTCTTTGCTATACAGTGGCTGTATAAATTAACCCTAGACATTCCCCTTTCTTTTCTCTGTAATAGAAAGATAGGTGTGCAAAATATCAATCCAAAGCTGGTCCCTACCAAACAATTGCCATACAGTCTGACTTAATCTAGTGAATATGAAAACACTTTTAAAAGATTTCGGCACAGACTCTTCTCATTGCATGTGTAGCACCTTTCTGAACTGACAACTGAATATTCTCTTTGCACTTATAAGTAACATTTTAGCTTTCTTTAACATGTGTGCGCTCTTTAATTTCAGTCTATAAATGTATCTTGGAAATCATTTTATAGTTTAGCTTTATTCATGAATATAAATAGCTGCATTATTGGAATATGTAATGGGAAGTCTGATTCAAGGCATACTCCAACATCTTTTTTTATAGAAGGAGGAAGCTGAAGCTAGGGCTCGAGAAGAAGCAGAAAAGCAAAGGCTGGAGAGAGAGCAGCATTTCCAGAGAGAAGAGCAGGAGCGCCTGGAGCGTAAGAAGGTAACACATGCTGTTTTTCTTTATATACACTTCTTATCATGGTTAAGTTACAGCTTATGCATTTTGCCTGAGTGAATATGGAAGATGTTTTAACAAGTGCCATTGCATATATTACAGTATAATACTTAGTTCATTTATAAAAGACAGAGCTAAGGAAAAGCTCTAGGACAATTTTCCAGGACAGTCCATACTTACCTTCATTTTATTCTCTTCTCAAACAGAAACAGATGAAATAGGATTGGTGGCTATCTAAAATTTAAAAAATCTGTTTTTTTTTTAAAGTTACCCTAAGACAGTGTTTTTCAAACTAGAGTCTACAGGCCACCAACCCAAACCAACACCCTACATTCTGTTGTTGTATATGTATGTATTAGAAAGTGAAGTGTGAAGCATGGTGTCAAATTGACAATGGTGTATAGATAAATTGTACCTAAAGCACACCAGTGACTTAAATAAAAACACACCCTGTTCAGTTTCTGAATTTTAAACATATGAAAATCATTAATGGTTTTTGGATCTAAACAGTGCATTTGTTGGATTAGGCACCGGTTCTTTGAGAGGTGCCCCTGAATGGTATGCAGCTAGGTATCGGCATGGCACAGAGACTGCACACTTGCTAGTACTCCAGAAGATACCAGACTGTATCTTTGATGTGCCAGACTTTGTAAGAGAGTCTCCACCCCATTTTTTATGATAAAAAGGATAAATATATATTCTATAGTCTTCCCTTGCTCAGGTGAGCCGGAGACAAATGTTGTTTTTGCCCCATTATAGCATAATCATGTCTTGTCCTGTCTTGTATACTGTACAGAAGATGTTCTCCATATTTCATTTAAACTTACCTCTTCCTGGAGCACAAAGGGACATGCAACAACACTGATATGTACTGTGTAAAGCCTAATGACACTCTTCGTTTTTTAGACACTTCACAAAAAAGCTGCCCGAGTCAGAAAACACTGAATGCAAATTGGCAGTTGTGGTTATGAGAATAAAAGGAAAAGTCAATCAGCATGATATCTTACCTTAAACAGTACTGATGTTATACCTTTGATGTGATGTTTAACAGTGTTGATTTATACATATTCCAGCGTCTTGAAGAAATAATGAAAAGGACAAGAAAATCCGACACACCAGGCAAAGTGAGTACAAAGAAGTGTTTAATAATTAACAAACCATAAATTACACAGCAAAGAGGAACAAAGCCTTTATAGTGTGATAAATCAACCAAAGGTAAAATGCGTTGCACTGACAATAAATGGAGGAACTCTGGAAGAGCACACCGAAAAATAGAAATCAAATGAAAACTGGTCTTCTCATCTAACAAAATAGAACTGCTGGTGATTGTGAATGTGGCTGCTCAGGCTAGTTAATAAAGACCTCTCTGCCAGTATTAATCTACAGAAGGACCCTCTACTCCATAAATATCATAAGAATAATAGAAAGCAACTTGAGCCATGTGCTGTGAAGAACTGCTTGTGCTGTAGTTGGGCAGTTCTGTTTTTGTTAATAGAAACTGTGTGTGTGTCTGTGTGTATATACAATAATGGCCAAACATATTGGCACCCCAGCATTCCTGTCAGATAATGCACCACTTTGCACAGAAAATTGTTGCAATTACAAATGTTTAGGCATTCTCATGTTTATTTCTTTTGTTTGTATTGGTTATGACCACTGAGAGGTGAAGTGTATAACATCAATTATCTAGTTACAATGGCACCTGGAAGTGGGTAGGATATATTCGGCAGCAAGTGAACATTTGGTCCCTGATGTTGATGTGTTGGAAGCAGAAAAAATGGGTAGGCATAAGGATTTGAGCGACTGTGACAAGGGCCAAATTGTGATGGCTAGACGTCTGGGTCAGAGGAACTCCAAAACTGCAGCTCTTGTGGGATATTCAACTGTCTGCAGTGGTCAGGACCTACCAAATGTGGGCCAAGAAAGCAAAACTGGTGAACCGGCAAACGGGTCATGGGTGGCCAAGGCTCATTGTTGTACGTGAGAAGCAAAGTATGGCCTGTGTAGTCCAATCCAATAGAAGAGCTACTAACTCAAATTGCTGATAAAGTTATTGCTGGTTCAGATAGAAAGCTGTCTGAACACACAGTGCATAGCAATTTGTTGCATATGGAACTGCGTAGTAGTCCACTGCCAAAAGCACCTACAATGGGCAAGTCCGTATGAGAACTGGACCACAGGACATGTGTTGCTTACCTGGGGAAGAAATGGCACCAGGATGCGCTGTGGAAAGAAGGCAAGCCGGTAGAGGCAGTGTGATGCATTGGGCAATGTTCTGCTGGGAAACCTTAGGCCTGCCATTCATGTGGATGTTACTTTGACACGTACCACCTACCTAAACATTGTTGCTGATGAAGTACACCCCTTCATGGAAACAGTATTCCCTAATGGCAATGGCCTCTTACAGCAGGATAATACGCCCTGCCACAGTGCAAAAATGGCTCAAAAATTATTTCAGGAATACAACAACAAGGTTGGCTTGAGGTGTTGAGTGGACTTCCAAAGTCTCCAAATCTTAATCGAATAAAGCTTCTGTGGGATGTGCTGGAAAAACAAGTCTGATCCACGAAGGTCCCACCTCATAACTTACAAGACTTACAGTAGATCTGCTACTGACGGCTTGGTGCTAGATACCACAGCATACCTTCAGCGGTCTAGTGGAGTCCACGCCTCGATGGGCAGGGCTGTTTTGGTGGGAAAAGAGGGGCCTACTCATTATTAGGAGGGTGGTCATGAAGTTATGGCTGATCAGTGTATGTATATGGATAGATACTTTATATCAGTGTATACTGCTTTGTGAAATTTCTTGTACATGGTTAATGAATATAGATTGGAAGGCAAAGAGCAGCCAGACACTCGAAGCACTTTGTATCTTTGTTAGAGCTAATCGATAAAGGTTTTAAAATCTATTCAGTTAATTGTTCCACTTAGGACCAGGCCAGTGACCTTTTATGCTGTCCTACAAATGAGATTAAAGAGGGGCAATGGAAAGTGCATTTGTAGAACCATTATTCTCACCCCTCCCAAGTTGTGCAGCAAAAAGTTCAATATAACTTTGAAAAATAGCCAATCCCACACAGACTCCACATGGCCTATATTCAGCTCAGTAAAAGCATCTGATTCATTTCATTAGAATGAAGCACTAAAGAAGGTAACTGCCTAATAGGACTTCCACTAGGATCAAAGGTGGCTACAGCATGTGGATATGGGGGTAATTTTGCTGCACAGGACAGAGGGGCCGTAATAATGATTTTGACAATAAAACGCTACTTATATTTAATTTCCGTTAGTCGTAATTTTATGAAGGTTCTTCTCTATTTAAAAGGAGGGGAACTGTTATACATGTGGTACAATTTTACACCGACGTCATTGTTCAGACCTTTCCTACTTTTTCAAAGAACATCCCTAGTGCACCTTAAAATACTGCTAGCTGTGTGTTTGAATAAGGTGCCTATTGAGGAGAGCAGGAAAAAAGCCATCTGAGGTGATAATAAAATGATACATCATGAGATGAGACTTTCAAAGTGTTTACAAGTAAAATAACTCATGTGAATTGTGGCTAATATTATTGCACTCATAACTTTGTTATGTGTTAACCCACCGTTTGTATGTTATCTCTTTGCAGAAGAAGGAAGATAAGCAAACACTGAATGGAAAAGAGACCAAACAAGAATCTACTCCAGTGAAAGGTAATCTGAAAACCAAACCAGAGGATACAACCTGACCTCAACCCCTCTGATTCATATTATCAAATATATATTGGTATGTACTAACGGTACATTCTTGTCCAGGAATAAATATTGCTTTTCTTTTTCTTGCATGGTCCTTAGCTGAAACAGTACCCACTGATGTTATTATGAAGATTGAGCTTCCAGAGAAGAAGATGGTGAGAATACAAGACAGGACTGCAGCATCTGACATATCTCAGGGGTAAGTCTAGATGCAAATATATTCTTTGTTTTAATGACATTATTAGCTACTGCACTTTATTTAAATCCATAGCTACTGCATCCATAGCTACTGCACTTTATTTAAAGGATGCATCCACTGTAAACTATGAGCCAGGCATTGGGAAATGCAATTACCACATTACAGTTCTCTTTTTTCTCCACTCAAGCATTTTGCTTGAAATAATCCTCAAAAGAGCAGAATGAATTCTTCTGTTTTAAGTGGAGTGGGACAGGGATTTATCAACGGCTGGGTCTTGTCAGCCCAGCAGGGAGATCCCCTGCTTCACTGACTCAGTCTTTGCAAGTTTGAGAATTCAAACCCTGCTTAAAGCAGGTTAGAAGGAGGTTTAAATGCAGGGTAATTCCCCTGCCAATGATTTCTAAATGATCTCAGAAGCCTCAACACAAACTCAAAGCATGTGTACACAGGTTCCATATCGTCAGTGCTCTATCCTTTCAAAATGTATTGTTATTAAGTATGCACTAGAGGGTGCCAAACAAAATAACATGAACGCTATGTTTTAGACACATAACAGTCAGTTTGGTCAAAAGGATGAGTTATTTTACTGCATTTGTTGTTTTATCTTGTTATGTCATCTCATATTTTTCTCATTAAAATATTTAGTTCATTAGTGCCACATAAGTGTAGAATTGATATCTCTCCCATACAAAAAGAATATTCAATTACTGAAAGCATTCATTTCTCATCAATTGCTATGTTGCTCCTGAATTATGTTATCACCACCACCTCAAATGGCTCCTTTTTCTGCTCCCCACAATAGATACCTTTTTAGAGCATCAGTGTTAAGGCCAGCCAAAAGACAATGGTAGTTTAACACACCAGCAAAACCTTGAGTTAATGTTTACAAATTGACTTTTACATAAAGAATATCTTAACAATTGATAATATAACTTGTAGGTGGTATATTGATCTTGATAGAAGCTTTAATGAACTGAAACCAGAAATTGTTAAATTGAGCAAATGAAGCACCCTAATGTAAATACTGCAGGCATTATGCTTTTTGTGTATTTACTGTTATACTGGGTACTGCCTTCTTTGTTTCACATGGTTTTCATTAGTATTTACACTGTCTGGCCATAAAAAAGTCACATACTCTAATATTTTGTTGTACAGCCTTTAGCTTTGATTAAAGCATACATTCGCTGTGGCATTGTTTTGATAAGCTTATGCAATGTCACATTTATTTCCGTCCAGAGTTGCATTCATTTTTCACCAAGATCTTGTAGTGATGATGGTAGAGCCGTACCATTGCGTAAAGTCTTCTCCAGCACATCCCAAAGATTCTCAATGGTGTTAAGGTCTGGACTCTGTGGTGGCCAATCCATGTTTTCATTACAATATTACTTCATACAATTGGAATTGTGTTCTTGAATGCAATAAACAGCTAAAATGCCTAATAAGCAAACATGTATACTCATTTTATATTATTTAGTGCTTGTTAATATTCACTGTACATTCTTTGAATGCATTTATGTTTTCCGGCGAAGAAAAATAGCTAGATCAAGGTTGAGCATTAACTGGTAATCCTGGCAAAGCTCAGAATTTTACTAATCAGTCTGTTCCCTTGTTCTGACCTGTGACCTTCCACTATGAGTGGTTAGCAAATAAGTATAATCCCTAGTGCAAGCAAAGAAAAGGTTTCCATGCCGGGTTTTTTGTGCTTACTCATTGTAATAGGATAAGACAAAGAATAGAATGTAATAGAGGCACTTCTCCTTTTTTTCCATTTTAGAGGAGCAGTTGAGGTGGCACACTAGGAGGCATGCAATTTGTGACAGATATCTAGCTAAAAGAAGGCCTTTGGGCAGTCTCAAAACCTGTTGGTGGGATTAAATGTTCTATCAGGAATGGCTTGAATTCCCCCAGGTAGAGTTGCATTCTGCGTCAACCAAAATATTTAGCCTGCTTTCCCTGAGATCTCTTGTGATCTCCACAAAAATGAATATAAAAATATATTCCACTTGCTTAACCTTAAATTAACATGTTCAGAAGTAGGGAAAGGTAAAATTCTGTCTGATTTCTTGTTGTCAGTACTCCATTGGCGAGACTTCACTTTCTGTCCCAGAGACAGAAGGGGAAGTAAGAGGAAATCTTTCCATATAGCAGGAAATCATTTCATATACAGTTGTCACCCAAATAAGGATGACTAATAGAAGGTTTTCCTTCTCTTGATCTGATGATAACTCACAATTTTGTATTTTCTCTCCCATTCATTCCCTGGAATAGTGATGATCAGACATAGAGATGCTAAATCTTCCTGGCAGGACCCCAGGCAGTAATAATACCCTGATGGGTTTTTACCCCTCACTACTCCAATTAAAACTAAAAGAAAATGTTTAGATCTAGATACACTTTATATATTTTTCAGTCATATTTCATATGTACTAATGTGTTTGCTTTGTATAGAGCAATCATAACTCATAAACTGTAAACTTCTTTTTAATTTAGGGGGTCTCTGGTGAATGGGGTCCAGCCTTTCAAACAAGAAAATGGCTTCTCCTCCAAAGATTCATCTCCTGCGTTTGAAGAGGTCATAACTCTTTCTGATATCAGCAGTTCTAATGGAGAGAAGGGGATTCCACCTGCAGAACCCATTATCGCTTTTGGGGGAAAAGATACATTTATTAAGAAATCTACTCTGCAGCCCCCTCATGTAACGGGTAAGAACAATTTCATAGTCAGACAAATAAACCCCAACAGGTATTACATATAAAACTACAGGTGTTACAATGATATTCTTATATCCAACTTGTGTTTTTATAACAAAGATTCATATTTTATTGGTAGCTAGGTAATCTAATGGATCAAATACATATACACATCATTGCGATAAAATATATAATGCACACAGTATATCTACAATACCTGGTAACTATTTGATATACAGAACATACATTAAAGTACTGTTGAGGGTACCCTTCGAGTTAATCAGTAGTCTTCCACAAAAAATGGACGATTAGCCATTTGGCTGACACACTTGTGTACATAATCATCACATTGACTAGAAGGGATCATCCTCAATCTGACACGTTTCGCACACATTTCACTAATAACCGCTTCTTCAGGAGAAGCAGTCAGTATATCTGAAAATATTTGTATAGAACAATGAGTCTGTAGGTGTATATATAAACACAATTATTATCTATTTCATAACCCACATATTTACATCTATATAAGCAAGAAATCAAAATCAACTGAGTATGACCTTACAGGGAGCAACAGGAGACCATATTAGGGGGGTCCATTTGGGTCACATGCACATTCCCTCAATGGACTGATCATCCCAGCTCGGTTCCCCCACTTCGTTCTAAAGAGCATGTATATGGTCCTCGCACTCTGGAGCATAGTCAGCAGGAACAAATTGGACAGTAAATACTGCCCCGCACAGCTGAAAACCAGGTAAAGTGACACTAAACTCAGGGGTTAAATCTTAAAAATACATTTAAGTACCTGAGCCATTAACAAAAATGTATCTTATTTGTGTATCACTCGGCTGTAGACCTTCAAATCATCTCTGCATTGGTGCTGACACTGTCCTTCCTTCTGGAGGGGGGCTACTTCTGTTCCCCATGGTCCCTGTGTGTGTTGTAAGTAGCCACCGCTCCAAGCTCACTCCTGTGATGGACTACAATCTCATGTTTAGTTTACTAATTTGTAAATGATTTGTGAGCTTGGAGTGGTGGCTACTTTACAACACACACAGGGACCATGGGGAACAAAAGTAGCCACCCTCCAGATTGAAGGACAGTGTCAGTATGAATTCAGAGATTTGAGTATCTACAGCTGAGTGATGTACAAATAAGATACATTTAATAATGAGAGTACTTGAATGCATTCTTAAGATTCAAGTCCTGAGTTTAGTGTCACTTTAAGAGTAATGTATAGGAACTAAGGGTAAAGAGAAGGATTTGGCTCCCTTAAACTGGAAGTAAATATCACAGGACATTCAGAGGGTTATGGTACAGTATGACCACCAAAACCTTTTTCTTTGTAAATGTCTTTCTGTAAACATGCTAGTATTGCCTCAGAGTGCATGTTGTTGGTTAGCATGCAGTACGGTCAGATACCTCTGACAATGACTTGACTCGTAGGAAACAGTACTGATCAGGATGCAACATGGACAGTTGCTACTTGCAATTGGTTGGCTAGAGCTGTCCAAACCATTTCTAGACCAGGTGGTAATCACCTGATCTCAGCAAATTGTGTGATGATCTGTTAATAGCTGATTTCCAGGATTGCTACACAGTCCATTTGTTAAGTTAATAACCATTGCATTTCTTAAAGTGAACCTGTGCACAGATTATTTGATTGTGAGCAAGCAGCAAAAGCACTTGAAAACAATCCCTCATAAATAACACAGGGATTGAAATCTTAGCTGTTTTCTATGATAACAGTCTTGGCAGGCTGCCAGCCCTCTAATGTAAACAAATAGCAGATAGTTATAAGTTGGTAGAAAGCAAATGAAACAAAACATTGGATTGTTTGTTGTAATTTTTTGAGAATTAATAACTTCACATTAAAAGCTGCTAGATAGTTGATGAGGCCTTGTTTTAAAGACCTCTTACTGCTTGTTAAGAATATGTTAATAGTTTAATGTCCATAGTCTGGGCACATGTGCACATTAGGAAATAACTACCTCTTAATTCATTTCAAAGTGTCAGAATCTGAAATTGCTGACAAGGATGAGTCTAAGGAATATGGAGATGTCCTTGAAAAATGTGTCTAAAGCATATCTCTAGCAAAAAAAATGTTTTTAATTGAATAACGTTGGGAAAATAAAGAAGCCTGCCATGTTTCTCTGTCCTGAGTAGGGATGAGCCGAACACCCCCCTGTTCGGTTCATATTCGAATGGCCGAAATTTTCGAATACAAACTCGAACTCAATGCACGTGTATGGTGGTCGAATGTTCGACCCCCATATAGTTGCCTGTACATGTAATAAATACTGTGTACTGCCCCCCTTACCTCTGCTGCTGTCCCGGTCCCCTGGTCCGTCCGCTCACTGTCCCGGCGCTCCGGCCGCGGCTCCTCTTCCCCGCCCCCCTGCCTCCACTTTGTCTGCAGGCTGGGAGCCATACCCAGCATGCTATTGGATATTGTAAAATGCAATAGCCAATAGCAAGCTGGTTATTGCACCCGCCTGCTGTCAATCAGCCTGGGGGGACCTGATAGAAAACTTTCTCCTTTAGGCCCCTCCTCCGCTGAGCCCTGATTGGGCAAAGTCTTGCACTTGACCTGTGATCAGGTGCAAGACTTTAACAAATCAGAGCTTCAGTGGGCATTTTGTATTATGGAATGTACGCGGTCGAAGAGACCGCGAACATCCCATACAGTTCGTCGCTCGACGAGCGCTCGAACTGCCGATGTTCGAATCGAACACTCGCCCCATCCTTAGTCCCGAGGATAGAAAACAACGGGAAATCAAAAATGTTATGTTGATCACTGAAAAAGGCAGTGAAGGAAAATCTTCTGACCGGCAACTGTCTAGTGGAGCATATCCCCTCGGTTCCTGTTGTGTCTCTAGGACAGGAAGTGAGGGTAAATCTCACAGACAATATGAAATAAAACTCTGACAGGTTTTTACAATTCCCTGCTATACCCAAAACCAAAAGGAAAAGGTTCCCGCTTTAGATGCATTTTGAAGTATATCTAAAATTAAAATATATTTTTTTTCGGGAAGTAGAAAAATACCTGAAATTTCTTCTTTTTTTTTTAGGGAGATTTTCCTTCACTTCCTGTCCCTGAGACACAACTGGAAGTGAGAGGAAATCTCTCCAAAGTGTGGGGAAATCCCATCTTGTCATTGCAGCAGGTGTGGCCTTAGGAAGGTTTCTCTTTACCCCATGTTCAAGTGTCAACTGTAATTTTTTTATATTTTTGTTTTTTTAGATCAATGTTAAGCTTTAGTGCAAAGAAATCATCAGGTATATCTAACTCCAGCACATGACCGGGTACTACACCTTCACTTTCTTTGCACGTTAGCATATTTATAATAATAATATCCTTGTCAACATGTGAGGTCTCAGAATTTAGAATCATTTTATTGTCCAATAATGTTACATTTTAGTTTCGTGGAGTTTAACATTGCCCGCATTTGTCTTTGTGTCTTTTATTTCCCGCAGAAGTCCTGTAACCCTTTACAAGGCTGTGTCAGAGTTCCTGTTGGCTGGAAGGTCTTCAGGATGATGGTGATAGGAAGAGCATTAGGTCTTTGGGGCCAACATCCTAACGCTTAAACCTTCATGTTTGTCACCATGAAATCGCCACAAGATTGTTGCTGAAGAGGCCACCGTGAACTGAATGTCAAAGGGAGATAAACTGAAGATGCAGGCCTCAATGAATGTGGCTGCATCTAGGACAGATATTGTCAGTGCCACATCTACCCACTATTGATGAATACTGGACACTTCTTAGTGTTATTATACTTTTTGTGTTTTTTGTTTCTAACATGCACCTTATATTAAAGTAAAACTGACAAGGTTTATTTCACAAGGACATTGAGACAAAGAGACTAGGGGTAAAACGTGGAATAACCCAGCCCCATCTGAAAATGTGTGAATGAGCTTCCTGGTGTTCCTAATAATGTAGCTATTTAATGACAAGAGACTGCTGGGTACAATGCTGTATGTGAATTCTGTAAATAAAACCTCACAGTGTTACATCCACATTCATAACAAATTGACTTTTCTTGCAATAGTGGGAGATCTGTCTCCCTTCTCATTTGTAAAGCTAGCTTTATGTGCTGTGATTTTTCTCCTGTGATGATAAATCCAGTGTTTTAGGTATCACTGTAGCAATAGGCAGACCACGCACTGCCATATCATTGTTGAATTAATACCTTTTGATCCCATTGATGCCTCTATTGTGCCTAATGTGCACATGGCCAGTGCAGTACTTAGCACTGCTAAATCTGGTGCTGGACATTGTTCACAGATTGAATGCAGGTGGACAGGGTCCAAGTCAGGTTGGCTATCATTCAACAAGACACCCTGTTAGTAAATGCTGCCGATCATGCGTTATCAGTGCTTGTAAATACCTCATTGAGTTCAAATGTTTCTCATTTTTCTTTGTACAGCAGCAAAGTGTAGCCCTGATGCTTTATTCCATTTTAAAGACATGTTTAAGAAATTGTACACCTACACTTTAAAGTGGAAGTAAATAAGGGAGGGTTCCGGAGCTTTTAGCCATAATGTGCTTGAATGCATATTGGCAAATTATGGCAAACTTACCTGCAATACAGATCCCGTCCAGTGCTGCACTCTTCCTTAGCTGGCACTTCTATCTTCATGCCGGTCTTCTTCCCGGTTTTGCAGTCTGCGGCTACATGATTGGCCAGGTCTGATGAGATAACCCCCGTGCTTGTGTGCAGGAGTTACTTTAATTCAGCATGCCAAATTTGTGCACTGAGCCGCACATGCATAGCTAGGTGTACAGTAACAAAATTGCTGGCAGGCAGCAAGAAGCTTTTCACTTACTTACACAGTCTCTTCTGTCATAAAAAGCCTTCCAGTCAACAGTTTTTTTTTCTGACCTTACTTCCACATTAAGCAGGATGTGTGTCATTTGACCCTGGTGCTTTCTTCCATTTTAAAGAACTTGTATATTTACTTTTTAAGGAGGTCATTGACCAATAAGTACATGTGCCCAGTGTGCTTGAGCCCAACAACAAGGTTTTCCAAGTCTACTTCCACTCAGGGGGTGGTTTGAATATCTTGTGCATTGTATGCAGATATGGATAACTTTAAAGGGAATGTACAGTCTTGTATAGATACACGTGTAAAGAAGAACAACTTGGGTTGAATAATCTTATCAATGTGTTTTATTCTTTTAAACACCCTTGTTTCTATGTATAGTTTGCAAAAACTATATGTACATTATTTGTGTAGTTGCAAATAATATATGTACATAGTCCAAAACAGATTCTTGAAGCTGTGCTATCGGCTGGTTTCCAATATACACCATCGCACAGCAAGCTGGCAATCTTGTGTCCAAGGGTGACAAGGCTACTCTTGCACAGACACAGGCTCTGTCAGTGTTGTCACCCTAGGACAGGAAATCCTTTTAATGGTAGAAAATCAACCTGGCAAAACTGGGAATGGAAGCCTAAAGCTGGCCATGCATTGTCATATTTTTTTTCATTCAACTTGCAGGTTGAAAGAAAATATAACCGATTCCTCAATCCACACTACAGCATGGATGGACGAATCTCCTGCTGGGCTACACACCACTGTCAGCCAATTGGCTGCTGTTACTATATTCCATACAGCGCCTTCAATTTTCTGATTGCAGGATGCTGGTAGGGGCACCCACTGAGCAAATTTTGTAGTGTATGGCCAGATTTACAAAAGAAAAACCAAAACTCCTCTCCGCTCGATTAATGCAGGGAAATCTAACCGGATTTTTTTGTCTTTATGTATACTTTAACCCCAGCAGTTTTACTTTAGTAAGCTGAGTTGCTGAACTTGGAGTTTACAGCTGGTTTAGATCTCTTTGCTACTGAGAGATTGAACAATTTGTTGATGATTATCTCATTAGCAGCAGTTTGATTTCAGTGTGTTACAAATTTAGTTACCTGCCAACAAGTAGTTAATTCTCTGTGATAAAAAGATTCAAGTGCCCGTGTAATCCTAGAGTAACCTCTAATGAGAGACTTGCAGAGTGCAAACATCCAGGATATACAAGAGTTTATGCCAGGGATTCTTGAGTTGTTTTTTTGCCAGGGTCTGAAATGTTAGTCACAGAGTACTCCTGGTCGTCAACTACATTTTATATACAACTACAGAAAAAAAGAAACACATTTAGATCAAGAGGTGTATATAACTGTTATATACACTTCATAAGATTTATTTTGGCCACAAATCATGACCAAAGTATTAAATAAAATGAACATTCTGGCAACAAAGGCATCACTAATTAAAAAAACACCAAAACAAACCTCCATTTGAGAACCGCTTTTTTTTTTTATACAATACATGGACTGAACTTGTTTTGATGAAACACTGGCATTTTGCAAACTGGCAGCAAGGTCTGGACCATGGCATTTTTTAATGGACATAATGTGATTATCTAATATATTGGCAGCAATGCATACTAACCTTGCCTTTCATCCCCTTCATTACAAAAAACGTTCTTGGTCCAGTTGAAGGTGTGTTGTAGTGCATTGGCAGGCCATTCAAAAGAATACTCTGCCTTAAGGAAAGGCATGTTAATGGTTTAAAGGGGCTCCTAAAGTGTATTTTAACCCAAAATGACAAATTAATACAATGAAGCTCACCAGTCCTTAGATGTGGCACATTCGTTTTCTTTTATTCAGGTTGTTTTCTTTATGTCCACCTAGCAATTCTGCCAGTAACACACTTCCAGTCGCAGGGTGACCATGCTCACTCCTCCTCTATCAGGAGAACAGAAAGAAGATAGGACTTCAGAACCCCACCTCTCTCCTATTCTCCATAACATAGAGGGGGGTGGCTCTGTAGTCCTCAGAAATAGCTGAGAACAATGGCACTGATAATTGCACAGGAATATATTGGCTCACAAGATGTGTGACAGGATCAACAGATATTTTTTTGAGCTAAGTTAACAGATGCAGACAAATGCTTGAAAAATGAGAAGTTTATTGTTGGGGTTTATTTGAATTTTTTTATATATTTTTATTAATACTTTTCATATAAACAATACATTTTTACATATTCAAAGAAGGCATAAAAACCTCCTTATTACATTGTATTTAAAAATCCAGGTCGAGCCACTATAAATACTCTTCTATAATTATTCATCTATACATTTATAGTACCTTACTAGTACTTCCTTTTCATTTCTTATTTTTTTTCTTCCTTTATATTCTATTACTATCAATACCCAATAGCTTCCTCTATCTCCTTACGTACTTTGACCAATTCCCACATCCTCAGATAGAGGGAAGTAATCCTTTAACCTATACAGTGGTACCTCGCTCGGTTCACGAACTTAATTCCACGATTCAGGTCGCGAACTGAATTGGTCGCAAACCGAATCAAACTGTGATCAGACTGCGATCTCGACGAGAGGAAGCCACGACCATGTGTCAGAGCAGGGAAAATGGCTCCGGTTGTGTTCGTCACCCGATGCGGAGTTCGCGAACAGAAGCAACATTTTGTCAAACTTCCTGTTCACGAACCGAAGCATTTGTGAACCGAGGTTCTACTGTATATACCTGTGTATTTACTTGTGCCATACCCCTTTTCTTCTACAATATTCCCTTTAAATATACAACCATGTCTGCAGACCAACAAACTTATGTTCCTCTCAAACCCCTTTCTTGTGTTCCTATACCTCTCTCACCCCCCTATGTGTTTGTATTCCCCTTTTATATATCATGTGTACTCATTCGCCTCAAAAATGTGTAATCCTCAGTTCAATAACCAAATATGTGCCCTTTCTCTCTCCCTCTCCTCTCCCTCTATCCCTTATAGGATTAACTATCCCTAATGATGTGAGTATCATTTTCCCCATACCCCATTTCCTTGGGTGAATTATCTTAAATTATTTCTCTCTCTCTAGCATTTTCCCTGCTCTCTAGAGAGAGAGAGAGATGTGTGTGTGTGTATATATATATATATATATATATATATGTATGTATGTATGTATGTATGTATGTATGTATGTATGTATGTATGTATGTATGTTCAGTGCTCAACACTCGACTTATCTGTTCTTGGATTTTTTTTTTACATCTTCCCCTTTCAACCTTCCATTTAACATAACACTTCCCTATCATAACTGACTTCCACGGTCGGATACTATAATACCCAAGGATAAACAAAGAACTAGAAATGAATCCACAATATGTATACCTCTGGGGGATCATCTATGCACCTGTTAAGGTGGCCATACACTCTACAACCATCGCAAGACCTTAGTCTTGCGATGGTTGTACAGGGATTCAAAAAACGTACGATCTGCCTATCTTGGACAGGCAGATCGCACTCTTGATCATCGCAAGCCCGCCCCCCTGAGGGGCGGGCTTCCGATGACCGCAATGCTGAACGGGCAGTGTGCGCGTGCGCACACCGGCCCGTTCGGCATTTGTCTTCCGAGCACCGTTCTAACCAGCCGAGAATCGTACGATTCCCGGCTGGTTTTCGAACATGCTGGTTCGACGGAAGACGTGCGACCGTACAGTAGAAACGGTCGCACGTCTCCGTTCACACTGCTCGATTCTCGTACGATTGTGGGATTTCCCGCGATTCTCGTACGAGAATCGAGCAGTGTATGGGCACCTTAAATGCTTAAATTAGTTA